GTTGGACAGACAAAGGAGTTGCTAACGATCAGGATGGGAGGGTGAATTAACATTAACAACTATTAACCAACCCATTAACAACTACTCACCCTCCCAGCCTGATCGTTAGCAACTCCTTTGTCTGTCCAACTGTCTTTCTCTCTCTTCGGGCTCTATCCTATCGTTTACTCCCTACCCCGTCCACCTCCCTATTTTCTGCATATAAACTGACGTTTTCCCAGCCACCATCAGTTCTGAGGAAGGGTCACCGGACCCGAAACGTTAACTCTGTTTTCTCCTTCACAGGTGCTGCCAGACCTGCTGAGCTTTTCCAGCAACTTTGTTTTTGTCCATAAGTATCAGTGTTGTCCTTCACATTGGAACTCACTCCAACCCACTCACAGGACCTGATCGCCACTGCTGTGGATACAGGGAACATTGAATTGATGTTTGACGTTTCCTGCATGGTCAGCTACCTATGGGAAAGTGCCCAATGCCTTGCATGTATGTGACCACACAATGTGTTATGAATAAGTTTGGTGATCTGCAACACATCACACGCAGGAATATGATGTGATGGCAATAACCAAACATGGCTTAAAAATTGTAACATGCAAAAATATAAAGTGTTCAGTAGAAAAAGAGAAGTTATAAAGGGAGGTGAGAATGGCATTCATGGTTTGGAAAGGCATTGCAGTATTGAAAAGAAGGGATGTTCTTGAAAAAGCAAGGACAGAAACTATTTGGTTTGAGTTGAGAAGTAAAAAGCTAAAATCCTGCTACTTGGAGTATGCTATTGGCTACTAATAGTGAGCGAGTGATAGAGAAACAGAACTGCAAGGAAATTACAGAAATATGCAAGAGCTAATTAGGGAAGATACTGAAAGACTAATTACCCAAAAATCAATTGAGAAAATGTTAGGTTAAAGAATAAGGAGGGGGAGGAATTTATGAAATGTATTCAGGAAAACTTCACAAATAGAAAGAACCTATTTTGGGGTCTAGTGCTGGAAAATGAGGTGAGTCAAGTTGACCAGCTGTGGAGGACTATTTGGGTAAGAGTGATCATCATATCATAAAGTTTAGATTAGTAATGGAAAAAAGTAGAGAACAATCTAATATAAAACTTCTAAATTAGAAGAGGACTAATTTAATTGAGAAGGGATTGAGTCAGGGCAAAATAAAATCCGTGACTAACCGGAAGAACTGTAATGAACAGTAGGTAACAGGTAGTCTTTAAGAAAGAATTGCTTCAGGTGTAAGATTGATGCATTCCGAAAAGATCAAGCAATAAGGGGGCCAAAAACAGGCTTCTTCAATGGCAAATGAGGTAAAGATCATGACGAAAAAGAAAAGGAGGATGTATAATACATGCTAGAAGATATCTTCAAGTGAGTTCCAGGCCAAATACAATAGGTTGAGAGTGGGCATAAAAGTAAAATAAGACAGACGAAGACAGAATATGAGATGTTATCCAACTACTTAAGAAGTGAGTGAGAGAGAAAGAAGGGAACGACTGATCTGTCAGTCTTTCATCAGTAGTAGGGAAAAATGCTACAGTATATTCTAAAGGATATGATAAATGAACACTTGCACAGAAAGTATTTGAATTGGGCATAGAATGGATTTGCAAATGGGAAATTGTGGGTTTTTTTCTATTCATAAGTGGTGATGAGCGGCTTCCTCAAACCACTGCAAACCAAATGCTGTAGATTGACCCTCAATGCTGTTAGGGAGGAAGTTCCGTGATTTTGATCCAACAACAAATTTCTTTGGATGGTCCTAACAAAATTGTTAAAGGGGAGTCGCTGGATATAGTGTACTTGTATCTTCAGCTGGCTTTTGATAAGGTCCTTACAGGAGATTGGTTAACACAATTAAAGCACATTGTATGCAAGGTGATGTGCTGGCAAAGATTAATGATTGGCTATGAGCCAAAAGCAGAGAGTAGGAATAAATGGATCATTCTCACGTTGGCAGGTTGTGACTAGTGGAATACTGAAAGGATCAGTACTTGGCAACTGGCTGTTCACAACATTTAACAATAATTTGGAAGTGGAACCAAAAGTAATATTTCCAAATTTGCAAATGATACAAAGTTAAGTGGGCATTTGTGTTATGAAAAAGATGTAATGTGGCTTCAGGAGGTTTTGAACTGTGTTACTGAGTGGGTAAGAACATGGCAAATGGAATATAATACAGCAAAATGTGGGGTTATTCACTTTGGTAGGAGGTAAAGTTGTGCAGAGTGTACCTTAAATCTTAAGAGGTTGGAAAGTGTAGATGTACAGAGGGATCTAGGGGGTCTTTACCAATAAGTCACTGAAACTAACTTGCAGGTACAGCAAGCTATCAGAGAGATGAATGAAATGTTAGCCTTTATTGCAAGATGATTTGAGTACAGGGGAAATGAAGTCTTGTTTCAACTGTATAGGAGCTTGGTTAGACTGCACCTGGAGTACTGTGTGCAGTTCTCATCTCCGGAAAGATATTATTTTCATAAAGAAAGTGCAACAAAGACTTGTTTCCAGAATGGTGGGATTGACCTTTGAAGAGAGAATGGTGAAAGTGGCCCAGCATTCTCTAGAGATTTGAAGACTGAGAGGTGATCTCAAAGAGACTTACAGAATGCTTAAAAGGATAAATATGGTACATGCAGGTATGATATTACCCCTGATCACAGTCGAGAGACTGGGGGTACAATTTAAAAATAAGGAGGGTGCCAATTAGGACCAAGATGAGAAGAACTTTTTTGGTTACTGGAAAGGTGGTGAATCTTTGGAATTCTCCACTTGACAGAACTGTGGAAGCTCAATCTTTGAGAACGTTCAAAGTATATATTGATAGATTACTGATTAATAATGTGTAAAGAGATATGGAGATAGTGTGGGGTGGATTTTAAGAAAGGCTGGTATGACATAATAGCCTGGTTGATAAAAGTGAAATCCTGGACTTTGAGAGTTGTCGGGCAGTGGTGTTCCCTGAGGATCAATGTTATGATATAAATGGTTATCCTTCCTTATTTCCACCTGCACTTCTGTTTGTAATCGTGATGCAGGCATCTGAACCAGGTGATTTACCTACTCTAAGCACTGTCAGGGTTTCTAGTGCTTCCTTCAAATATCACACTATCCATCGTCTTCACTGTCCCTGTTTTGGAAGATAGAAACAAAAGTAGGCAATTCAGCTTATCGAGCTTGCTGGCCCATTTAATATGATTATAACGGGTCAAACACTTCAGTGCCTTTTACACACACAATCCCCATAACGCTTTAGACATTGGAATACAGGGTCAAACTTTGAAACTGCACATGATGATTACCAAACTTGGAGAAGTGGCAAACAGAGATCATGATATAAATTTTCCACAACAGGGCATAAATAGCCAAATGGAGAAGCAATATAGACTTAATGACACAGTTCTAAAGAGTGTTCAGCAACAGAGGGAACTTGGGTGTAATGTGCTTCAATCTTTGAAAGTGAAAGGACATAATGAAAAAATAGATTAGAAAGTACATGAGATTCTGGGTTCCATAAATAGGCGCATTGGGTACAAAAAAAGGGAGGTTGTGCTGAACCTCTGTAAAGCTCTGGTTAGGCTCCAACAAGAATACTGTATCCAGTTCCAGTCACCACAATTTAGGAAAGACCTAAGTGCCCTTGCAAGCGTGCCAAAGAGATGTACCAGAATAATTCCCCTTGGAGCAAAGGTAACCAAGAGGAGAACTAATGGAGCTGTACAAGATTGTGATGAGGTTTTGATAAGTAGACATATTATCCATTGTACAAGGACTAGAATACATAGATTTAAGACTTTGCTAAAAGATTCAGGGAGAGCATGAGGCAAAATATTTTTACACAGTGATCTGGAACTCATCACCTTTGAGGGTGATAGAAACAAACTAATTTTAAAAGGAAATTGCAAGGGTACATGAGGAAATAAAGGCATTCGCACTGCTACAAGAATTTATTGGAGAGGGGGACAGATTGGGTTGCTTTACAAACATACAAACAAGATAAGAAGAGTAATCCACTTGGCCCTTCAATCCTGCTCTAACATTCAATAAAATCATATCCAATCTAGTTTTTAGCTCACTCTACAACTCCTGCAAATCCCTGAGAATCTTTCAGCCCCTTGGTAATCAAGAATCTCTTTATCTCTGCCTTAAAAATATTTAAAGATTCTGCATCCACTGACTTTGAGGAAGGGAATTCCAAAGACCCACAACCCTCTGAATATGTTTCCTCATCCTTAACTAGATGTCATCCCTGGACACTACAGCATACCCAATCCACCTGATTTGCACGTCTTTAGACTGTGGGAAGAAACCAGAACCACCCAGAGGAAACCCATACAGATGCAGGGAGAATGTACAAAATCCACACAGATGGACAGCTGAGGGTAGAATTGAACCCAGGTCCCCTGGCACTGTGAGGCACCAGTGTTAGCCACTGTGCCACACCAAATGGGAGCATCATATTTTCAAACTAGTTCTCGGTTCCCCCACAAGAGAAAACACCCTGTTGAAATCTGTCCAAGCAATTTCCCTCAGGATCTTATATGTTTCAATTAAGTCACCCCTGAATCTTCTAAACTCCAGAGAATACAGCTATAGCCAGTCTGGCCCTTCCTTATAAGGCAATCAACTCATTCCAGGTATTAGTCTGGTAAACCTTCTCTGAACTGTTCCCAACACATTAACATCCTTCTGTAATTATGGTAACCAGGACTGTACACAGTGCTCCAGATACAGTCTCACCAATACCCTGTATAACTGAAGCATAACTTCCCTTCTCTTGTATCAATTCTTCTCATAATAAATCATAACTTCTATTAACTTTCCTGATATTTTTTGTCGAACCTGCATATTAACGTTGCATAATCCATGAATTTGAACACTCAGAGCTCTGCAGCCTCTCACCACTTAGATAATATACTTCTTTCTTATGCTTTCTGCCAAAATGGATATTTTCACATTCTGAGGGCCGATGGGATGAATGTCCTCCTTCTCTGCAGGAAATGACACTGTGGGTGAATTAAATACCCTTGCCTCGGGCAGGTTTGGCGGCAGAATGGCATTTAATCAGACCAGAGGTTGGCAAGTGTAGACCCCACCGTCGTCCAGCTTCCATTCCAATCTACTTCACATCTGGAATACCCATGGACAGCCTCACCAGCAAATCTGTAATGAGTTGTTTGCACTTGGTTATTTTTGGGGGGTTGTGGGGGTTTGTTTCTTGCCACCCCAGCATCTTATAAAGCTGCCAATTGAGTGCTTGAGTTACTTAAAGCAATGGGCCTGCCATGCCAGAGGTGGCACAGGTTTCTCCAGTCAGCAGAAAAAAGCACATCACTTCCATTAACTATTGCCCTATCACACTGTTGTGAAGATAAGTGATTCAAACATTACTGTATATTAATGTTGACTGGATGCAAATGTGCACACCTGTATATTTTGAATGTTTGAAAAGAACGCTTTCCAAAGGAAAGTTCACTAGATACAACAGCAACAATGTTGCATTTACAAGGAATGGGTATTTGGGATAGAAAAGTACAGTTTATATGATCGTCTGAGAGGGGTTACATGGCCCAGGTTGAAATGTTGAACGAAGCGACTGAAATTTGGACCCAGAGGATCCGAAATAACTTGCCTAAGGAATAAATGCCCACCCCACTCTCCCACTCTTTCTCTGCACCTCTTCTTCAAGTGAGTGAGCTGAAAACCCAACAAAAGTCATCTTCACCACTCATGCAGGAATCCTAAAGATGATTTAAGAACCTACTTCACTATCTCCAGGAAGTCAGCCAATCATAGCTGTTCCAGGAAATCACCCTAGTGCCAGCAGTTTGCACATTCCAAGCAACTTTGGCCGTAGAAAACCATTTGGGACAATCTGTGAATCATTCTTTTCTCCTGAGTTTAATTGCCACTTGGCCAAAGTACTTAATATCACTTTGTAAAGTTTTGATGCTCTTATTTTCCTTGGATTTGAGTGTGTTTGTTAGATTTCAAGAAGGGCAGTTACCTTTTTGGCAATAATCTGTACATTTTCTGGAGTAAATTTCGCTTGTGGTAGACTAATTACTATTTAACTACAGAAACTTGGCTGACTTGATTCTGACACTGGATAAATATGGTTGATACCTACATAATTGGCAATATCAATGCTCGAGTTACATTAAAATTTGATGTGCCCAGTGGAGGAGTAGAACAAGGAATCAATGCACCCCTCCAACTTCTGTCGTAACAACTCTACGGCTCATTTCTTTATAAAGTGGTTTTTGAGATATAGTGTTTCTGTCAAATCCATATTTATAGTCCATGCCTAATTATCATTACAAAGTAATAGAGGTCGCTGTTCTTGAACTGTTACAGTACCCATTACCACATGGTTGTTAGATAGAGAGTTCCATGATTTTAAAGCAAAGACAGTGTAGGACTACTATGATATTCCTGAGTCAAGGTGGTGCGACTTGGAAAATAGTTGTAAGTAATGATCTTCTCATCCATTCAATGTCCTCATCCTTCAAGGTAGAGGTCATAGATTTAGGAAGTGCTGCTGAAGATCCTTTCACAACTTGCTATAGTGAATACTGTAAATAGTACACAGTGCTGCTGTAACATGCCAGTGATGGAGGGAACGGACATTAAAGCTAATTGAATGAGATAATGGTGATGGAACATTTGAATTCACTGATTAGGCACAAGTATAAATAAGTTGTTGGAGCGATAGTGTAGAATTTGATGAAACCTGATGAGCCTTGATGTACTTGAGCTTGACATTAATCTAATATTGCTGTAAAAGTATGTTTAATTGTGTCAGTAATAGTCATCATCGTTTAGTTAATTCCTATGAACATCAACAATAAATGTTTTGAATCCTACCAGTTTTAAGACTAATTATTCTCCAAACAGAACTGAGACTCTAAAGTATGGGTGTGCTGTATAATCAAAGATGGTACCTTTTATATGTGACACGAATATGAGCCCATATTCTATAAATATCAAACACCTTACTTTATATATGAAGAATTGTAGGGTACTTCTCCAGTGACTTAGCCAAAATTACAAACACACGTAGTTTTCTGGCTTTCAATGGGATTTAATTATGTGCTAACTAGTTGTCATATTTTCTGACGTAACAAGAACATCTGCACTACCAAAGTATTCCAATGGTTTTACACTACTTTGGGAAAGTGAAGACCCTTTAATCGAAAATAACTTACTTATTTCTACATTCCATATAGACCTTGTCAGATTCATGAGTACGGACGTGAGCTTACCTTTGCTCCTGTTGTTTCACAAGCCAGGTCATTCAACTGGACAAAGTCCGGAAGATTCTCCATGTTTTTCTGAGTTGGACGAGCTGCCATTGTTCAATCCGTTTTAACAGATGAAATTCTATATGTTTTTGTCTCCCCTGATTAAAATATTCTTGACAAATGAAACTGCTGTAAGAAAACACACAGCCGCCTTTTCTTCTCTGTTACAAAACTTGAATTAATCCAATGTGCAGGACAATGTTAAGATTGAAACATTTTCTCTACAATCCAGAATTTGTTGTGATCCAATACATTATATGTGCAATTGCGCAGTAACACAAATCCTTATGCTAGGTATGATAGAATATGCTTGCAACCCTCTGCAATACCTTATCCCTATTGCATTGATATTAGGGGTCTCTTCAGTACAAGGAAGGGACACCAAAGAGATAGCTCTCTCATCCACAGTCACAAGGCATTTCAGTTTATTCTTAGGTAGGCCAGCTGTATTTGGAAAATGTGGTCCACAGGTAAACTAACTAGTGAACCTCAAAGGAATCACTGGAGACAGCCATCAAAACGATAATTGTTCCTATCCTCACAGCACATCAACCTGCCAGCACAAAGCAATTTCTAGGTCTAAGCTTGCAACAGCTGCTTACTGTTAGAATTTTCTTCAAGGACAAAGACAGAGAAAGCAATATTGAGTTATTGTATATTTTATACCCACCATGAATTACTTCTGTGCAATGATACCTCGGTGCATATCTCTCTCCCTTCATTCACTGTTGAACGCTGCTGCTGTATTTTTGTAATTCCTTTCCTAAATTCCTCTGGCTGTCTATGTATCTCCTCATTTAAAAACCCATCTCATCATCAAGCTTTTAATTACCCTTCATAGTCTGGGGAAAAATGTCTACTTCTAATGTATCTTAGGATGTTTTTCATCTTTAAGGTGATATCCAAATGCAAATTGGTTTATCAAACACTGCACAGTACTTTGTCATCTTTTTCCTAATTACTCAAGGTACTGTATATAATTAAATCTTTCCACTACTTACATACTAACTGATGCATAAAATTAATTTCATGTATTGGCTTTTCATAGGTTTATAGCTGTGCCTTTTAGCAATTGCTGTTGCAGTTGGAATAGATTTTAAATAGGGTTTCCTAACTTTCCAAATCAGCAAGAATTTAAGAATTTTCTGAAAATCTAAACGACAGAAGTAATAACGTTAAATGTCAAAAGGCCGCTAAAAATTTATAAGAAGAAAATCTCATCACGTATTCTAATTATAATGCTTCAACTTGTTCAGATTTATACAAATTACAATTATACCAATTCAAAACTAACATTATTTTGGAATATGCAAGTTATGTTTTTGACATACCACTTTTCCTTCGGTGAACTGGTTTAGAGCCTCATCATTCCAGTCAGTGACTTTGAAATGCAAAAATGTTGTCATCTGTTCAACAGTCCAACTGTAAATCTGCAGGGTGAACTTATAATCAAGCAGTCGCTGACCTGGGCATCATCAGGCATTACAAATTGTGCAAAATGGGAAACAGACTGAAGGTCTGCGCTTCATCAGATTTATTTTCTTGTGCAGCGATTCAATACACAAAATTAAAATCCCTTTCCACTCGCCTTTAATGTGAGCAGCTTCTTTTTTAGCAGATCTTCAACTAAAACTGTTAGATGTAGCAGTTTTCTGTTTGGCACAGATTCTTACTCACCCACCCTAACTCAACCTTTGTACATAACATGATCCCTGAGTTTTGTAACATAAGACAAAAATTAAGGAACTTTAAAACTTTAGGAACTCAGCACTAAATGGTCAATGTTGTCAAAGGAGAAAAATCGTCATGCTACAGTTTTTTTTTAGGTAACTCCTCAGTTTTAAAAAGGGGACCAATGATCCACTTAATATTAATCATTTCTAGTGTGAAAAGTAATTTGTTTTGAAACTTTTTCCCAGCGTAAGAAATGTAAGAGGAACAGAATATAGGAAACATTGTTCCAAGTAGTGGCATCACTTCACAAAGAAGAGAAACAGATTTTGCCGATTTAGGGATGAGGGAAAAGGGTCAGTTTTTCATTCCTTTATTGTCAACGGAGGTGAGGGGAGGATCGTCATGGGTTTTGAAGCTTTGGGAATTAGCGCCAGTGAGATGGGAAAGCTGGAATGGGAGTGATGGGGTTTGACAAAGCTGTGGTGGAGTTTCACAGGGCCACACTGTAGCTTGAGAGTGCTACAGTGGGGTCAGTGGATTTTTACAGTGCTGCAGTTGGACTGCTGGAGTTGACAGAGTACCCCAGTGAACCTCTCACACTTTAACAGTGTTCTGGGGTGCTGCTGGTGTCTGGCAGTACTCCAGCGGAGATGATGCAGTATGTCAGTGCTCCCACTGCACTGGTGGAGTTTGACAGTTCTCAGGTGGGGCTGGTTGAAATTAACAGGTCTTCAGAGAGGCTGCTGGAATTTAACAGTGCAGCAGTGCATTTGTTGCAGTCTGACAGAAATGCAGTGGAGTTTAATAGTGCTCAAGTTGGGCTGGTACATTTTGACAGTGATATTGGGAAGGTGGAGTTTAACAGTAGAATTGGTGACATGGATTTTGACAGCGATATTGGTGAGGTGTGTTTTGACAGTGATATCGGTGAGGTGTGGTTTGACAGTGATATTGGTGATGTGTGGTTTGACAGTGATATCGGTGAGGTGTAGTTTGACAGTGATATTGGTGAAGTGTGGTTTGACAGTGATATTGGTGAGGTGCAGTTTGACAGAGATATTGGTGAGGTGTGGTTTGACGCTGATATTGGTGAGGTGTGGTTTGACAGTGATATTGGTGAGGTGCAGTTTGACAGAGATATTGGTGAGGTGTGGTTTCACAGTGATATTGGTGAGGTGTGGTTTGACAGTGATATTGGTGAGGTGTGGTTTGACAGTGATATTGGTGATGTGTGGCTTGATAGTGATGTTGGTGAGGTGTGATTTGACAGTGATATTGGTGAGGTGTGGTTTGATAGTGATATTGGTGATGTGTGGTTTGACGGTGATATTGGTGAGGTGTGGTTTGACAATGATATTGGTGAGGTGGAGTTTGACAGTGATATTGGTGAGATGTGGTTTGACAGTGATATTGGTGATGTGTGGCTTGATAGTGATGTTGGTGAGGTGTGGTTTGACAGTGATATTGGTGAGGTGGAGTTTGACAGTGATATTGGTGAGGTGTGGTTTGACACTGATATTGGTGAGGTGTGGTTTGACAGTGATATTGGTGAGGTGTGGTTTGACAGTGATATCGGTGAGGTGCAGTTTGACAGTGATATTGGTGAGGTGCAGTTTGACAGTGATATTGGTGAGGTGTGGTTTGACAGTGATATCGGTGATGTGTGGTTTGACAGTGATATCGGTGAGGTGTGATTTGATAGTGATGTTGGTGATGTGTGGTTCGACAGTGATATCGGTGAGGTGTGGTTTGATAGTGATATTGGTGATGTGTGGTTCGACAGTGATATCGGTGAGGTGTGGTTTGATGGTGATGTTGGTTATGTGTGGCTCGACAGTGATATTGGTGAGGTGTGGTTTAACTTCCCAAAACCCTCTCAGCAGGGAGTTATCGCATGCAGACATATGTGTGTTTTAACATTCTGTCTATTGGTGTCGGAGAGGCTGGAGCTATTCATGGTTAGAGGGCGAACTTCGTTTTCCCCAGGGATGTAGGGAAAGTGAGTCTCTATCATAGGAGTGGAGGTAGTGACAGTCTATAATTTCCCAAACTGGGCACTGATGGAGTGCAGCAGTGAGGTTCAGTACTATGGTGGCGGGGATGAGAAGGAGAGACTGTCCCAGGGGGTGTGATGTGGAGATAGTAAAGTTAGAGGATGGGGCAGTGGGTGAGCAAGCATTAGGCCCAAGGTGCGGGGGCTGAGGGATAATAAGGGTATGTCCTAAGGGAGGGAGAAACTGAGGGTCTGTCCAGAAATAAAGTTCTGAGGGTTGGTCTCAGGATTGAGGAAGGGAAGGGGAGCAAGGATCTGTTCTAGGGTGAGGTGGGGAGTGAGGGTGAAGGAAGGGGCAGCCCTAGGGGAGGCTGGAGTGAGAGACCCTGGCCTGGGTTGCTGGGGTGGGGAGGAGAACATTGAGAGTCTATCCTGGGGAGGGAGTTGGACTTAGAATCTGACTTGGGGAAGCAAGGGCTCTATTCAAAGAGAGGTCGGGGGGGGAAAGTCTGTCTTGAATGGGGTTGGTGATGTCTGTCCAAGGAGTGTCAAGAGCAGGGTCTATCCCAGGGGGTGAGGAATATCTGGATGGAGGGCCTGTCCTCCAGCCTGGAGGTAGGAAAGGGGAGGGACATCTGTCATGGCTTGCTCTGGAACTGGGCAAAGCGGCTAGTGGCCAAGGGACCCAGGAGGAGGGGTCAGAAACAATGACTTTCAAATTGCAGAACACCATCAAACATTAATTGCAAGACAGTGTTGCAGAGGGAGAATTACAGGAGATGGAGTTTTAGGTAACTTTTATTAGCAGAGCTAACCTGGAAGCTGAGCAACTGCATTCACTACCTCCAAGTGCCTGGAATTGGGAAATAGTCCCAATACTTAGAATATATGAAATATTCCCATTGTACAGTGTGGGAAATACACTCTGTGTCAAATATACCCAGTGCTCAGTGTGGGAAATACAGTCTGTGTGAAATATATCCAGTGCTCAGTTTGGAAATACACTCTGTGTGAAATATACGCAGTGTTTAGTGTGGGAAATACACTCTGTGTGAAATATATGCAGTGTTCAATGTGGGAAATACACTCTGTGTGAAATACTGCAAGTGCTCAGTGTAGAAATACAC